ACTGACTCTTAATAACTCATCTTCTGTCAACATGTTGCTTGATTGGTAGATAGCTCACTGGCATGTTTACACCCACTTTAAGAAAAAGTGAGTTCATCGATTACACAAATGTTTCTGCACTCGAGAGCCAGAAACTCATTAGCCTTTCGCTCTCATCTTCCTCCTGTCACTCCAATTTTCTGCTTCCAATTTCTTGGTTTTTCTCTCTCTGTTCCTTGTCATTCTCTCTCGCTATCTGTCAAAGTATAGCTAAATCAACAGCTCTTACAAAAAGTGTTCAAATCACCCAAACAAATTATTGACACACAACAGATGGTCATTTATGCATGGTTGTGCACCAAGGGCAAAATGCTTACCTCCTACAAAAAGGTGTGGTTGTATTTCTGTGTTGATAGAAAATGAGAAATAAAACTGACAGCAGAGATATGAGAAACGTTTTCTTTTTGTTTGTTTGTCTGTTTTTTTTTAACCCATATCAATACATATCACAAAATGGCAAAATATTCATTATTAAGGCCTAATTTAAACTTATGTTCAAGTTTTTATTACATACTCTTTTTTTTTGGTTATTATTTTATATTGGAGAACTCCAAAATTCAATATATGATAACTCTGAATAACTGCCCAGCCATAAGCCAACTCATAAAATCATTTTGTTTGCTGTTTTTAGTATCCTGTGACATGCAGGATCATGTCTTGACCTCAGTGTTCTGTATGAAAACAGAACAGAAACTGAAGCGCATGATCGAACTAGACACTGAATTATTCAACAATCAGGTCTGGCAGGGGCCATGTGTGTGTGTGTGTGTATGTGCACGGGCATTTGCTCCTACATCCGTCTGTGCGGTACCTGCATTTCTTCATCATTCCATTTTTTCTCTTCCTTTCCACCTCCACCCACTCTGACTCAGAGTCTGTCTGTGTGTCATCCAGATGAGATGAATATGCATTGTATTGAAATGAGGGTCATTTCAGCACTGTTTGCAATAGCAGAGCACACATGGGAACTGTTGCCATGGTGAGGAGCATTTGTTGCTGATTGACCCATCAACTGAACTGACATTATTTATTTTTCAGCAAACTATATAGAAAGTTGAGCTGAGAATTTGAGTAAAATATTATAACTGATTGAAAAAGCAGTCATGGGACACAGACCACATACCATTATAGAGTTTCGGAATTAATTGACCCACCCTGATAGACCCTTGTCTACCATGCCTGTAAGCTCTGAGTCCACTTTTCTTGATGGACTGTTTCTGTGGATTCACCCCACCAGCAGAACAAGCACAACCATTCATTTCATGAGGTATGACGCATAGATATAAGCCAATGAAGTATGAGTCCAGTGACAGGCTCGTATCCATTATTATGTCCAGAACATGGTGTTTTATTGATATTTATTATGTCACTTAGGCCAATTTTGTAGGGAGGTCAGGATCAGCCACCGGTGGAGCTGGAGTCAAGTCAGTTTTTATTCAAGGATACTTCAGCAGGTTCAATGCTTGAGTCCTCTGGTTGAGTGCTGGTCTTCACTCTGCTCCTCAAACATCAATAGTATGCGCAGGCTAGTGAGTTTGAAGACATTCCAGTAGAGCTTTTGTGATAGCTGCTTTGGCTCAAGTGTATTTGTCAATTTATTGCGGAGGGCTTTACAATTTGTACAGTCTCTTCTCATCTGAATCAAGGGTATAAAGTTTTTAATTTCTAAAAAATAGATAAATATCCGTCCAAGCAACGGAGGAGGAATGAATTTTACAAACATGTTCAGATAATTTTGACTGCAAACAACACCTATCCTAAACTACGTTTTAGAATCACATTCATACATTACAGTGCTTTACTGAGTGACAGGCTTACCTTACCTTACTTCTCAGGTGGTTTGTGCCATGATTATCTGTTAAGCACAACTAGATAGATTCACCTACTTTCGAAGAGAAAAATTGCCAAGTTTGCTGATAGGACAAATGTCTGCTGCTGATGTGCTGCTTTAGCTGTGGAGCTGGTATAAACAAGAAGTGACATTAATATATGGTACATAGAGAAATCTGAGAGTGAGACAAAAGCTTTTTGTTGACGTTCAGAATACCAGAATGGAATTCAGCCTCAATACGATCCACATGATAAGACCCGCCTTTTGAGCAAGAGCAACTTATACACTTTTCCTAGTAGATTTTTTTCTTTACAGTAATCGAGCAAGTTTACATTCATTCACTGAGGGTTATTGAAAGGAAAACTGGAAAACTAAAGCAGGTATAGATGTGTAATTTTACAAAGCTGCTTGCTGATGTGAACCTGTGATGAGGATTTAACCTTTCCAAAAACATTTGTAAACTTTGTACACTTGTGTACACATACATTTCTTATTTGGATGAGTGTGAATTTCCATAAAAAAGGGGGATGGATTGCATAGTTAAATGATACCAGTATAAGGAAAATAAAGAGCCCACCATTTTATCAATCTGCTTTCATTACGGCCCACTGATCACCCAAATTACCATCCAGTTTTTGCAAAAATTGACAGTTTTGACTGACTTTGATTTGAAGATTTCCTTTTCCATTTTAAATCTGCATATGGAGATTCTATCATGCTTCTTTCTGTGGAGCTCAGGTGTTTTCTTCTAACATTTATAGTCAGGGATGTTAGAAGAAAACTATAGAGTGCTGCTGAGACATATTGTAGGTCTCGCTGTTTTGAAATACCGGTAGTGTATGTTTTTTCCTTTTAGAATTTAAGAGAGCCATTTTGTCGAAGAACTTCAAAAGTCAGAATTTTTCCTCGCTTCTTTTTACTCCTTCTGCCTCCTCAGGCTTGGACAGAGGTTTGGGAGGAGGGAGATGAACGGAGTTAGGTACGGTAAACAGAATGAAATGTGTTTGCTCACAGAATATTTATCATATATCTCTGTGTCACTGTTGTCAAATATCTGTCTTGCTCCATTTACACTCACTCACTCTCTCCAGAGTTTGATGTCCTTCGACACCTAAAAGATGCAAGTGTCGCAGAGTGTTAAACAAAATGGTTAAACATCAAACAGCGTCCATTGGGTGCATTAATGGTGAATTAATTGTGAATGGCAGCTCAGCACTGATCCATAGACGAGTCCTTTCCACCTGTTTAAAGAGTTTTATGAGTTCTGTCATGAAGCTAGATGAGATATTTCATGAGCTCAGGCCATTAAAGTCAATGACACACACACACACGACAATATCTTACTTGAACAGTCAGACCTGTACCCGTTTTGCTGCATAATAGGCTGCATAACAATAGATGCACGTACAGCTGTAGGTCACCTTGGCAACAGCTATCAAGAGGCAAATGATTCTCGCGGCACTGTGAAAAAAAAGAACACATAAAAAAACCCACACCAACACACACACAGAAACATTTATGAGGGTACATGGAGTCCATTCATCAACGCTCTCATAGTGGGAATGTTGATTGCTTGGAGCCTGCTTTACTTAAAAAAGAAAAAAAAAATCACATTTGCTTTTCAGCCCTGTTGCAGCATCAAATCCCCATTGAACACCACACAGGGATCTGAGCATTCATGGCAGGCCAACCACTGAGACCGACTGTGAATATCAGAGGGAGAGGGTGTTGCAGGGTGGCAGTATTTGCTTGCATTGCCACTGGCTGCGTCTCTGCTTCCTCTCACCTCCAACACTTTAGGTTGCTGTCTCTCACTCTGTCTAGTCTGCCTTCTCTTTTTCCTTTTCTTAAATGACACTTGCTCCCAACCCTGCCCCCCAGACAATGAATCCTAAAGACTTCGGTGATCCCCTGACATTTCCTCTAGTGCCACCATGACGTTGACATTTGGGGTTTTGAGTGAGATGTCTCAACTGTTGGATGGATTGCCATGAACTCTGATAGAGACGTTCATTCATTCTATAATCAAGTTGCCCAATACTTTGTTTTATACAAGCAAAAACGAATGTCATTCCCATCAGCCTTTGCTATATTTTTTCTTTAGTGCTAATTAGAATATTTTTACATGCTAACCTGCTAAACAGTAAACGTGATTTACATATACCTGATAAAGTCAACATGTTAGCATTGTTATTATGAGGATGTTAGTGTGCATAAATTAGCATTTAGCTCAGATAACCAGATCAGATTAGATACTGACACTGTTGTCCTGGTAGGCTTCACATGCATGACACACCACTTTATTTTTTTCCTACTCGACCTGGTGGTGGGGGCTTCACTTGTCTTCTTAAAATGAGGTCTGATGTGAGCCTATAATGTGAATTTAAACAGTATTTATGATATTTAATATATATTAATTAACTTGACTTGACTATGTCAAGATATGTAAATATAAATCAGATGCCTCTTGCCAATAAATAGATGAGCTCCACTGAGACCTGAATGACTTGAGTCTAAAGATAAGGACATTAAAAAGAACCTTCTTGTATGTCCTGTAATGTCGGCCTCTCAATATCCTAGAGACTGGGAGAAGTTTTTTGTCTGTATTAACTTAATTGTTTGTGAAACAGAGATATCTATAATAGTGTATGTTTTGTCTTATAGTCTGGTGCCATCATGTGGCAAACATAATCATTACAGCAAGATTCAGCAAACCACAAATGAAACACCTGTCACTACGGAAGAGTGGCAACCTGTTTGTAAAAATCAGTATTGCCACCCCTAAAGTCACACTGTTATTGGAGCTAAAGGTGTGAGGGTGTAGCTGTCATTACACCCTCACACCTTTAGCCAGTGTATTTCCAGATGTGAATATTTGACACATATATATCCAATTAGTAACTTAGGTCACCTTAACATCCGTTAGCCAGCTGTGAGGGTTTTTAATGCTCAACAGCTGCAGTTAACCTTTGCACTGTATATTTAACACTTAAATATAAAGATTCAGCTTCCAGTCATGCTGTTATTTTAGACCTAAATATTGCTTTCAGTTTCATACACCATTTGTTTTGTACACGTAAGTTGGAACTTTTTTGCACCTGTGTCTATTTAAGTGTGAGGTCCTGTGACGTTGTACAAGTGGTCAGCAGCAACAGAGAGAGTTGCAGCTGCATTCTGACTGTGCTTCCTGTGAGATACAGCAAGTTTGTCACTTCTCTTCGTAATCTGTAAGATCTCAGCACTGCAGGGACAACAACATACACGGTGAGTAACACAATGTTTCAGTCCCTTTAATGTGGCATAAACAGCAACAGACTGTCATTTTGAATTATGGTTTGTACGCCTGCTGTTTTCAGAACTGTCACAGGGTTTTCTCCTACTGTACAGATTGTACAACGTTGCTGGACCACTTGCTCTTTCCGTGAAATAGAGTCCAGGTGAAGCTTGTGATAGATGCCAAATCCATTTCTTTAATGTGTGTAAAAGAAAAATGAAGGAGAGAGGTTAAAGTACAATTTGTGCTGCTTTTGGACTATAAATATTAGCAATGTATTTCTGTGGATAAGACAAAAAAAAAGTATTACAACAGTACCAATCAAACCACGTTGTTGCTGTTATGTCGCATGGAACCTTTCGGCTAGCAAGGTGCAGCTCCATGCTGTTTCCTTTAATCCCTGTAATCAAGATCTGTTTCATATTCAAACAGTGGTTATATATAAATTTAACCTATACCTCTTCAATAAAATGTTACCTTTCCTCCCAAATTTAGCTGGGTAGTTCAAATTTTGTTGTTTAGGAGGATCAGCTAATTGGCTACACTATATGGTAAATAAAAAAAGTACTAGATACATAAAATAACAATGCTTTTTCAGTTTTACCATTTGTAAACCTACACGTACGCCTTCATACCTTTTATTTTTTTTTTACCTTTCCATTAGCTGCTTTACCATGGAGGCTACAGCCAAGTATGACTTTGAAGCTACAGCTCAGGATGAACTCAGCTTCAGAAAGGCAGCGCGATTGAAGGTTAAGGAACATACACACAGGCCATACAACACACTCACCAAACCCACCTTAAGTTTCTACATAGTTCCTACTTTGTGTTTTCAGCAACCTAGTGGACACCTTTTTAGTTATGAATATGAAAAACCTTTAATTTGCTGGCAGAATGTTTATGTTTTACATGTCACCTATGACCGGAAATTCAATACATTCACACATTGTGAATAACTTGGGAAAATGTCTGTGAAGTTTTTCAGTCATCCAGGTCATAGTTATCCAAGGAAAGTTAAAATCAAGGGCATCAAGGTCTTCAACCAAGTCTAGTTGCCCTTGATTTTAGCCTTCCTTGGTTATCGTGAATAACAACATTTCAATTCAATTCAATTCAATTTTATTTATATAGCGCCAAATCACAACAACAGTTATCTCACAGCGCTTTTCATAAAAGAGCAGGTCTAGACCGTAGTCTATGATGTTATTTACTGAAGCCCAACAATTCACACCAAGAGCAAGCACTAGGCGACAGAAGCAAGGAAAAACTTTCTTTTGTGTCGTGTCATTGTTCTCTACAGCACTTCTCAATAGTTTGTACAGGTTATGAAAATGTGTGATGAAATTACATCCTGCTGCTAAAAATACAAATGCATTTCCTGTTTGCACAGTGTTTCAAAATGTATCAAACAAGATAGCAAAGGTGATGAGTAAGTACAAGTATTAGGAACAATAATCAAGCGAAAGCACGCAAACTCCTCTCACCAGAGGGTGAGAGATGAGTCTGGCAACCAGGGGGAACTTTGTGACTCTTATATCTAAACTACAAATTCATTCACCACAAAGTCTTTCTGTTAAGTTACAGTGATGTTTATAGACATGATCCTTCCCCCTTAATCAGTTACTGCAGTTAACAGTATAATATGACTTGACTGCATAAAAAAATTTAAATATTGAAAATGCATATTCCTTTTATTGTAATATTTTTATTTTAGGTGTACATAAAGCTCATTGTGCCGTACATTAAAATGCACACAGTAACTTAACTGCATATCAGAAGCACACACACACACACACACACACACACAATTTTCAGTTTGCATAGGGCCAAAGTAACTAATGCATCTGGTGTTTGGAGTTAGAAAACTGGCACTTGATTTATGAAAGAGGTCTGATTAATAAAAAACCTAATTAAAAAACAAATCACTTATATTAAAATTATAAAACACCCATTTGAATTATATAGAGAGTCTGGTCAGATAGGGAATCATTAGCTTGAAAGTGCTGAATAAGTTCACTCTGCAGCACAAAATGTAGATGACACTGAATGCTCTTTATGTACTTTTTATTTTTTTTATTTCAGTTGCATCTCCAAATCAGTATTATGTGAATGTAATGTGTAGTATATCGAACTCGATGTGAATGTGTCTTATGTGATTGTGTCCCACTATGTCAGATTCTGCAGACCACTGGAAACTGGTACAGAGCAGAACTTAATGGAGTTGAGGGGTTTGTACCCAAAAATTTCATCAACATTCATCTGCCCAGGTAAAACTCCCATAAAAAGTATACAGAGATAGTCAGTCTATTGTTGAAATGACACATGAAAGGAATCAGCATGATGTTTCATAAGGGAAATACATTTTGAAGTTTAAAATTATATTTTTAAACTATAGTTAGACTGTGTACAAGTGGAAAGATAGTCATCAGATCACACTCAACAAATGGTCACTGAGATAAACAAGGGCTTTGCTATACTATTACTACCAAACCGTCATTTTCTTCCTCCCTTCACCGTCACTCCAGCTGGTACCAGGAGGACTGTAGTCGCACAGACGCCCAGCAGAAGCTGATGTCACAGCCTACAGGGGCCTTCCTTATACGCAGTAGCCGACATTCAGCCCTGAGTGACTTCTCCATCTCTGTCAGGTGCATTCAGTGTGTGTCTACTGTTTTTGTGCATAACTTTTCACAAGCTTGAAATTTTCCAACTCTTTTCCAAATAGACAGATGTGTATTTAGAGTGATTTATGTAGGGGTTAGTGAAATGGAGTAGAGATAGCCCTTAGAGTTTGGGTTGATGCCAATTATATGTACGTTTTTAGTTTATTACTAGCAAATTTGATATAGTGCTAATAGCATTAGCATAATGCTAGGCCTATTTGTATCCCATTTAAGATTTAGATTTTTTTATAGTTCTTCCTTCTTGTTGAAATGATCTAATGAGGATTTTTTACCTGCAGTCCAGGGTCAGCATGGATTCAGCAACAGTCTTGGCCTCTCTCAGCCTCAGCTTTGCTGTATTTCTTATTATATGCCATATGCTCTGGCTCGAAAAAATCTAGCACGCTCCCTGGCTACCCAGAGGCTAGAAATAGAAACTCAAATCACCTGTAGTTCTTTTGTGCTTCCAACTACATCAGTGTACATATCAGGTAAGAGCGATGGTGCCAGAAGTACAACAGATTATGCAGATTTTATTATATTTCATTTTTTTCTTTCTTTCTTTCTTCACTGTTAAAGTATGCCTTTTTCATGTCAGTGTTGTGCATTATCTCTTATGCCATGGCCACTGAGAACTCTTAATTCTGACTGGCTGGGAGATGTGGATTAACTTTTAGTAACTAGGAAACCTATGATGCTGGTGTTTCCAGAATCCAGTATTTTCCACAAAACAGTGGAGAATTTTTTCACAGGCCTCAGAGGATGCTTCATGATAGACGGACTAGGGAATATTAAGAACAGAGTTAATTGTGCTAAAAAGAACAAGAGGTTTGTGGCAATTATTTAAATATTTGAAATATTATTTGAAATAAGAGAGATTTTTCTATTATTTTTATTATTATATTATTTTTTTCGATTATCTTTTTCCCATTTCCATACACTCTCACCTAGCAGCCTGAGTTAAGTCATTTATCCAAGGTTCAGATTTAAATGGTGTCAAGAATGTTGCAACAAGTGGATAAAAAGAAAAGATCAACTCCGCTGTATTTTGACAAGCAGAGGATTCCATAGCCTCTCTAGCAATATTAAAGCACCAGAGAATCGAGCAGCAATGGTGGGTTTGATCATCCAGATATGAGGTGGAGTGTATTGATTAACGGTTTGATAGGGAAGATAAACGTCAAATAAAATAGGGACGTGCTCAGAGAAGACTGCTTCGTATATGTCTACGTTACAAATAGGTACACTGCATGACAAAACAAGGTCTAATGTATGACCATGGAGCTGTGTCGGACCAGAAACAAATATATACATTCATTCCACACAGGCTGATATAGTTCCAGTGTTCATTCCTTTTAATTTTGATGATTATAACTGACAACTAATGAAAACCCCAAAATCAGTATCTCAGAAAATTGATCAGTTTAATCATCACAATTAAATGAACTAAACATTTGAAATGTATCAGTTTGTGTGTAAGGAATGAATATAATATCCAAGTTTCACTTTTTGAATGGAATTACTGAAATAAATCAACTTTTTGATGATATTCTGATTATATGACCAGCACCTGTATAGGCTAACTGCACACAGTACCGGCTGAGATTGACCCAATTTAAACACGGTTAGTTCAAAACGTGAGCCAGTGTTAGCTGTCTGCAGTTGTATTTTTCTTGAAGATAGTAGCGAGTCCACCTCTTCGACCAGTAGTCCTCGGAGAGTCCTCGAATAAGAAATCCCAGTTGTGACAGGAAAAGATGTCATTCAAGATGAAGGTCTTATTCACTAGCGATCTAGCATTGACCAGGGCAGCTCTGACAGGAGCGGCAGAACTGGCCATCCGAGGTACTTGACCAAAGATATCTGTGGTTAACGCCACTTCTGCGGGGGGCTGAGGTGAGGAAGCTGGGCCTCCACATCTGGGCCAACAACAGGGACCAGCCAGGTGTCAGCAGGGTCCAGGGCAGTGGCGGTTCTAGACCAATTTTATTGTGGGGGCCAGGCTGGAGCCAGTTTTTTTGTCAGCGGGGCACATTCAATCCGGGAAAAAAGGCAATGTTCAAGCTTTCAAAATGTCTTCTTTAGTAGATATAATATAATGTTTTAGTCTGTTTCAGTAACTTAGTTATTTGTTTCAGTAACAGGGTCTTTTCAGTAACTTAGTTATAGTTTTAATAAATTCCATTATACAAAAAAACATGTTACAGTACGTTATTTGATGCAACACAAAGGCTTAATGAACAGTAGAAGCTCTAGTGTTCTAGACATTCTCTAGATCCCAGTTTTTATTTTGTATCCCACTATAACTTTTGCTAAGAAACAACAAATGTCTCCATATTCACCCCTGTTATTAGTCATGATGTGAAGTATACACAAAATTAAATACTTGATAGTAGGCCATTATCTGTGCATTATAAAGGGGGGATCCATTTTATGGCAGGTTTAGCTACTTCCATACATATAGTTTATTTTTATTTTCATATCTATTAGATTATGTGCTGGGCCACATGGAGGTTGCTTCGGGGCCAGATGTGGCCCGCGGCCGCCTATTCAATAGGGCTGCTGTACTTTTCGTTCAGAGGGGGGCCATGGGGGGTCCAAGGACTGTGTTACAGGGGCACTGGCAGGTGAGCAGGTATCTCTGACAGCAAAGGAGGAAGAAAAGTTTTCTGCCCACTCCGATCATATTTGATCAATGTTTCCACAGAGAATCAGAGATCAAGCAGCGTTTGGCGATCATAGACCAGCAGAGAGTCAATATTTTGCATAGTGACACAAACAATAAATATACAAGCAAATTTGACAGTGAGTGACGGCTGGCCACACACACTGTCGCCATCTTTTTCATTTACTCAAGTTTTACAACAATTAGCTAATTAAATTTCAAATCCATTTGGTATTTGTGAGAATTGAGACATCCAAACTGAATAATGGTAGGAGGAGGAATGTGACCAATAGGGCTACCACACAGAAAATAAACAGAGAGCACTTGGTAACATCCTCAGTTTTAATATCATGTAGGCTAGCAGCAGTAGCGCTATTCTCTTTTCTTTAAATTAACAGCAATCAGTAAATGTCTCTCTCTCTCTCTCTCTCTCTCTCTCAAAAATATGTCAGGATTTTGAAACTCCCAGCCCAACCTTGTGAACCCCTATCCTGTTTAGGAAGATGTTGCCGTGTAACGCAAAAGAGAAATTTCTGAGCCCCAGGAACTATATTTTGTGATATTTAAAACAGAAAGTGAGGACAAAATTACAGTTATCTGTAAAATTAACAATTAATATTGTTAAATTGATTACATATGGCATTTTGTTGTCAAGTGGTCAGGGCATAAGCGGAATAATTGTCTCATGTTTGCACATTCCAAGGCTGTAATGAATCCTATGTCATCTTTACAGTCATGAAATGTACAACTTGTTGGGTATTTTCCTTTACTTCCTTCACTAATCATTTTCGCAGCATCTCACATTTTCACAGCAACAGACAGATTCATAAATATTGTGTTGGGCCATTCATGACATAAGAAAAGGCATACAAAGACAAAATAAAGCACTCTCTGCACTATACTCCACTGTAGACATGCAGCAGATGTGCTGCACTTCAAGGTGATGCGGGACAGCAGTGGGCAGTATTACCTCTGGTCAGAAAAGTTCCCTTCTGTCAACCAACTGGTGGAACATTACAAACACAACTCTATCTCTAAACAGAGTGAAATATTCCTACAAGAGGCACAACAACAGGTAGGAAACCTGCTTGTGGAAACCTGATATGAGCAATGGAGTCAAGAAACATACACTAATTATAATGTACTGTAAAAGGATTTGAATATTTATGTATTTAATTATTTATTTAATTACTATACTACTATAATAGAAACATACACTATTGTATTATAATGTAACCATGGTAGTAATAAACTTATTCAAATTAAGGAGTTTCATTTTAAACAGAAAGTTTTAAAAAATAGTTCGTTTTTGTGTTCCAACAGCATAAAGGGGGCTCAGACAAATCGCCATTTCCCCCCACTCCTCTCCCCACTGCTCCACTCTCCATCGGCCCACCTAAACCCGCACGACAACAGGTACTCAACAGCACTGTGTCTGTATGTGCATACACTGATGCTGTGGTTACATACTGTTTGTCCCTGTCCATGTGTAGGTTACTTTGGCCTTATAGAAGTCAAGAAATCAAATTAATTTAAGATACCCTGTGTGTGTGTGTGTGTGTGTGTGTGTGTGTGTGTGTGTGCATGATAGCTTGCTACAGTGGTTAGATGACTTCAACTTTCTTTTAAAATGCGAGCTCCTGCTTCAACCCCAAATTACTCACCATAGACAAATAATGGTTTTGAATGAATTACTAAAGAAAATGTTTGTCCCTCTACAGCTTAAAAGGGGCTGCAACAAGGAAAAGTGTACCATTTTTATTACTTGTCTTCATTTTTTCTAATCTACATTTCAGTATGACATTGTCATATGTCTTAAGATCTTTGATGAACCTGTTATGTTCAATGACATTTGGTTCATGGACTGAGTTTATCTTTTCTGTCTGTCTGTGTATGTCCTCCTTCTCTTTACCTAGCACACAGCCTCCTCCACGCTCAAGGTCATAGCTTTGTACAGTTTTCATGCTGAAGAGAGAGACGAGCTGGAGTTCAACGCCGGCGATATCATCACGGTCCTGGAGCGCTCCGACCAGACCTGGTGGAAAGGCCAGCTAAGGGGCAAAACAGGCCTGTTCCCCTCCAACTTCACCAAACCTATCTGAGAGGAACTCACAGAGACAAACACTTTGTATCCAAACATACGTTTAATGTCAATTCTTGCCACTTTAGCTTTACTTACAGTAAGTCCCAACCCTAAACTGGCAGCAAAGGACTCAGCAAAGTGTTATGTGACAGAAAGTGTCAGCTGTCGAGAATAAAAAAGAGGACTAACTTGTTGGTTTAGGTGCACACACACACACACACATTCTGCACATGGAATTTCTGTTTCTCGTCATGGCAAACATACTGTTGGCGTCCTGTATAAGAGATATATAATAGGACAACTGTTTGGCTGCAAAAAGGACTTCTCAAAGATTTATTAAAGTTTACATATTGCTGTCAATGTCAGGATATTTTATTTAGACAGATAGTAATCCTTAACAAAATATTTGAAAATGTGGTGTCTGCTTTTACAAATAACTTATAACAAAGCCCATGGCAATACTATCTCATGGTCATGTACTGTAGGTACCCATTTCAGTTATGATTTCAACAATAGCATTTATTTTCAGAGATTTATATTTTGAATTTAAGAAGTGATGAGCACTATTATAGAGTGTTGACAATTCATTTTTTAAAGGATAATGATTCATACATTATCCTGTCCTGCCCAGTGATGGAATGCAACTAAGTACATTTACTCAAGTACTGTTCATAAGTACAATTTAGATATACCTGGTCCAGGTCCATTTTAGGCTAGGAAATATTGTACTTCCCCCACTACATATTGCTACTTGTTGCTTTTCAAGTTAAGATTTACATGTAAAATATTTGATCAAGATGATGCACTATTTTTGATTAAAGTAACCGATATTACCGGATTCCAATATTTTTATAATAACAATTATCAAATGACAATGTGAAAACAATGTCACAATGTGAAAGGTGTCCCTCATAGTGATGAACCTACAGAGAATTATCACCTGAATCTGCAGGACCCTTCCATTAAAGGAGCTTAAAGGAGTGACGTTTAGCTTGTTGTTTGCAACTTTAGTGTTCTGGTTCACTCTCACTGCTCTTGCAGTGTTATTTGCAGCAAAAAAAAAGGTATTAAGGTCATTACTGTACACTACTTGCTCAGCACCAAACAGGACACAGACACATATAGACTAGCTGGTAAACGTTTAGCAGCTAAAGAGCAAGATATTTCCCTCAGGAATTGGTTGAAACCAAAAACAGAGCTAAAAGAGAGTTTTGAATATTGGACACATCCATCAGGTGGCCAAAAACAGGACTTCAAATGAATGATAATGTTGCTATGTAACTGCTTTATGTGTCAATAAACTATTTGCTATAGCATTGTGCTGCTAATACTTCTGTACCTTTACTAAAGTTTGAATGCAGGAGTTTTTCTTTTTCTTTTGATACATTATGCCAACAACATGATAACAATACAGCAAAGTCCATGTTACAATGTTTTAATTGTGGAACCTTTGACGTTGTAACTGATTGCTCAACCTCCATGAAAGAAAATGTTCTGCAAAAACATAATACCTAAACCACCGAGATGATTGTATTGTGATCATGTCTGCAAACAAGATTTTTTGAAATGCTGAATAGACAATAGGCTCACTTGGGCTGGTCTGTTTGCAGCATGAACAAGGGGAAGCCTTGAAAAGAAAAATAAACTCCACAACCTTATGCGTTTCCACACAACCAACCCTTTTCAAGGAAACTTCTGCTGCCTTCAGTTCCGTCTGTAAATTAGTTCTTCTGATTAGACATTTTATATAGGTCTATTATTAGTCCGTTTTTTTAAAGAAACATTTTAAGGTTCAGATGTGATTTGTATTTATATAAACATTGTGGCAGAATAAAGAGAATATGGAAACCAGGCTTTATGTTATATTGAAAATAAAAATATTTTAAAGAAAAGGACAAATTCAAAATCAATTCAATGACCATCAATAACTGACTCAAGGCTACAATTAAAAACTTTGAAAGTCTCCTTAGCGTATGCCTATTCGATTAAATTCAAAGTTTCAAGAACAATGTTGCCAAAGCATTAAAATATAAAATATATATACATATTGTCCAAATATTTGGACAGCACACAACAGCAATATATAGCTATTCTAGTACTCTTTAATCCATTTGCACTTGAAGGCAGCATGGGTTTTCAGCGCCGGGCCCCACCTCTCTCTCTCTCTCTCTCTCTCTCTCTCTCTCCCGGCCAGGTAAGAAAACTTTCCCAGCTTTATTTTTACCTGTATGGCGTCACACGTAGGTAGCTTAACGCCCAACAGACGCCACAGGGAGAGTTTGTGAGCTCCAGGAGGGGAGCCATGGCCGAATCCCAGCTCATGTGCATGGAGGATGGCCACATCGGTGCCAATGTCCCGGAGTCCAAACCGGAGTTTTACTACAGCGAGGAGCAGCGCGCGGCAATCGAGGAGCTGCTCAAGAACGGCGATGGCGCCTTCAAAATGCGACTTAAAGATGACAACATAAAAGACTTTTTGTCTGCCAGAGAAGTCAAAATGTTGATGAACACTTTCAGACATTATGACTTGGGCAGTGACAGCAGCGACAGCAAGGCATCGCCATCTAGATCCGAGCAGGGAGCGATTGGCACCGATGCGGATTCGGGGGTCCATTCCACCTACTGGCCCGCGATGTCGGACACCGAGGTGCCGCAGCTGGATATCGGCTGGCACAACGGGGGTTTCTTCAAAGGGGTAACCCGGGTGGCTGTGCACACACACCCGCCCAAAGAAAACGGACCTCACATCAAGGAGGTGGTGCGCCGACTCATCCAGGAGGCCAGCAAGGTGAGGAGGGCAGGGGACATGACCAGTGCTAGGTAATGATGATGATGATGATGATCATGACAATTTTTATTGTTAACGTTATTATGACAAAATTACAGAGCATTTGGAAATGTATTGTCATTAGGCCTATACAGTCCAACTTTTTAAATCTCCTACCGCATTTTATTATAGAGTGTCTTGTTATTTGTTTAACGTGGTCACAAAATACCAAACTAAATATGGCCTAGGTTACACCTGACAACACAAAACAAATCTCAATTAATATCACAATTAATGGAAATGCTGGGAGGCCAGCAAAACAGGTGTGTGATTGGTGATTGAGCTAAACCACAGTGCAAAGTTGTGCAAAGGAAGGTACTATTGTTTTCATTTAGTTAGTATACATGTAAAACCACAAACCTGAATGACAAACAGATAAGGAGAGGTGGTCAAAGTTCATCAAAATGTAGCCCACTGACAAAGACAGATATGTATGTTAATGGTGTTTATGATGGTTAAAGGTCAGTTTGCTGGCTAGCCTGTCAAGAGTAGGCCTACCATAAGAATTACTGTATGGTTCATTTGATCATGGAAGGTCAGTGTCTGTTGCAACACTGTACACTATATGGCCAAAAGTAGGGACCTTCCTCAAATCTTTGCCACAAAGTTTGCAGCAAACTATTGTCTACAAATATAATTTTGTTACAGTATTAACATTTCCTTTAATTGGAATTAATGGGCCCAAACCATGAAAACCAGCCACAGACCAAGAGTACAAAACAGTATGTGGGCAGGAGTGCCCATATACGTTTTGCCTAATAGTGTACATGTAATATTACTCAGCTAATGTATTTCTTGCCTTTTTACTGGGACTTAGTTTACTATTATTAAGGAACAAAACCGTGTTTGTACAATTACAAAGCTAATCTGCTCCTTTTCAGCATTATAGTCAGATACATAAGTCCCAGGCAGGGTGAATGAATATTGATGACTGATAGATAATACCTCCTCACACAGATACTGAAAGCCTGAAGTGGGTCTGTCTATTTGCCCATCTTAGTGTTTACTCATAGACTGCTGGAGCTCAGCTGAGTCATCTCTTCCACCCGCTCACAGTTACACAGAGGCGGCCTCTGCTCGGCTTGCCCTGCCTTGTTATGCCTCTTTAAAACTGGGTCAAGGAGGGCGATAGGGCATGAGTCAATACTCACTCAACTCATGTATGGATTTTCCTTAAAATGTTCTTTCAAAATCCCCTTTCTGTTATCTTTCCCTCCCTCCCTTCTCTGTCTTTCATTTATTTTGTGTTTTGTTTTTGCAGTCCCGTCGTTAATGTTTTGTTCTAATTATTTTGCTTGCTCACATGCTTACCTTTCCTTCCTCCTTCTTCCTGGTTTCAAAGTTCATATTTTACCTACCAGTCAGCTGTAAAACAAGATCCCTGTCCCTTGAAATACTTCTCTTTTCCCTGCTATGCTCTTAATAAAGAAAGTGATTTACAGTACGCACATCAGCTTGGTTGTTCAGCCAACTTGTCATGTTGGGCACACAGCCGGTATACATCAGTTAAGTGTTTTCTTTACTAGTTCACTTCACCTTCTAATAATTACCTAGATAATTCAAGATTTGGAACAGGCAACCCATCTCTCAATATATTTAATGTCATATGTGACCAATTTTAGGTAAATTGTAGTATCGTTCTTACCCAAAGTTGTCAAAGAAAGAAGTTTAATGCATATACAGTTAGGGTTTATTGTGCTTTATCAGAAAGTCAGTTGTTAAAATAATAACACACATTTGAGGTAACACATGTTGAGCAACCAGTTATGCAGGCACAAATCATCTTTGCACACAGATATTAAATTTCTTCTCATTGTTTTTTGTCTCATCTCATTTTATTTGATGGTCGGTCGGCACTGACTCTACTGTCCACACATGTCCAAGCTTGTACCTGACATCCACTCAGCATTTTTTCACAGTGAGGCACTGGGTGGAAACAACAGGCCTTTTCTGCCTGACAGAGGAACATTTGTTGCAAATTTAAAGAGACACTTTTCCATGACTCTGGTTTTCAGGGAACAGTGGAACAATTGAATATTCTGCATTTCGCAAACCTTTATCTTCTGCGTGGACTGAACATGTCCCTACATGTTTGAAAGGACAACCTTTCTTTTTTTCCTTCTCTTAATCCTTTATCCTGTATACCATAAAAGTTCAATTAAAAAGCCAAGCCCCAATTAAATGCAGAGTCCCTTTACTTTTTCTTTGCTGAGAAAGAGTTTTGTATGAAATTATTAAAGGCCTGTCCCATTAGAAGCCTGTCATAAGTATAGATTAGATTAGAAAGCTTTATTAATCCGCAATGGAGTAAACTCTGTTGCCACCAGATCACATAAAATAATATACAACATAAACAGAAAAGAAAACTGGTACATGCATGCAGGAAAAGAAATTAAAAACGATACACCCATTAAAAGCCTTCTAAGACTGATTACAGCTGACAAATAGGGCCAGCTGGAAACCTTAAAATCAAAATGAGAAATATTCATAAAAAATTGCTGATAAAAGCCCGATTGGTAGAATTCCGGGGCTTCTTCAGTCGGCCACTAAAGGAACTACTAAGTGTAAATACACTGTGAAGTCGATGGTCTACAAGATCCATAACTTTCTTTAGTTTGGCACTTGTTCTCCTTTCTGCCATGACCTCCAGTGGGTCAGGAGCAAGGCCAATCCCAGAGCCAGCTTTTTTAATCAACCTATAAATCCAGTTTTTATCGTTGACGGTAATTCTGCCTCCACAGCAAAGCACAGCATAAAAAAAACAAAAAACAAGGGCTATAATGCCTTGATGAAAGTATAAAGCAAGTTTCTGCTGACATCAAGGAATTAAAATTTTCTCAGGGAAAATAGCCTTGACTGGACTCTTCTTCCAGTTTAGTTTACTGTCAAGGCAAACCAAGAGATTTTTAGGATTGGACAGTTTCAATTTGCTGATCTTTAACGATTACAGGAAGAACCTACTCCGTCTTTCCTCCTTAAGTTAGGGGTCAGGGGTTCTGAGGAATGTTGAAACGTTTTTACCGTAGATATATTTTAAGAGCTGGTGTGTGTGTCGCATTGAACATTACGTCGCGGCAGTTGTGTGTGGCGTCGCTATGGCGACAAGCTACGTACTATCTCTGGGTACTGTCTGCAATGGAAAACGGAGCAGGGCCGAGTAGAGTCGAGTCTATCGATTTGCGCTATGGTAGCATTTTTCGGCAAGGCAGCAGAGATAGTCAGAACACCGGCAACAGTTCAACGTTTAGTCCTGATGGTAAGATGTGGAACAATGATGTTGTGGACTTGTGAGTAACTTATACCATCTGCTAGGTTACGGTCGGTTACGGTTTGTGTTTACTCCTTCACCCCTTCTATATGCATATCACAGAGGATCTTGAAAGGCTGACAATTGTTTAGACAGGTGACCTAGGAGAACCCTTTATTTCATGATATGAGAAGTCAGTGCTATGGGCTGAAGTTTAGTAATGTCACAACAGGACACCGTAC